AAAAAAAAAAAAAAAAAACGAAAAAAATGACCGGAAATCAAAAGCCCACATCGTGCCTAGTCGTCGGCAACTACTGCCACGACGTCCTGATGAAGGACGATGCCATTCTAGGCGAATCCCTCGGCGGAGCCGCCGCCTTCATCTCCGCCGTGATGGACGGCGTCGCCATCCCCTCCACCTTCGTGTCCAAGGTGGGTCCGGATTTCGCCTACTCCGTCGCCCACCCACCCCTCGTCTCCCCCTCCTCCAAGACAACTCTCTTCCACGCCCATTTCTCGTCGCAAGTCCAGCGCGAGGACCGCGTCCTCAAGCGCGTCCGCGCGTGCGAGCCCATCGCCCCCTCCGATCTCCCCACCTCGCGGCGGTTCGAGTTCGGCCTTGCCGTCGGCGTGGGCGGGGAGATACTCCCGGAGACGCTGGAGAAAATGCTCGACATTTGCGAGACGGTGCTAGTCGATGTCCAGGCGTTGATTAGGGTTTTTGATGCCGGCGATGGAACAGTGAGGCTCGTGAACCTGAGGGATTCAGGGTTTTATCACCTCATTCCTAAAATCGGGTTTCTGAAAGCCTCATCGGATGAGGCGCCATATATTGATTTGGCTGAGGCGAAGAATGCATGCTGTGTGGTGGTGACGAATGGGGAAGACGGGTGCAGGGTTTATTATAGGGATGCGGAGCAGCACATAGCTCCCTTTCCGACTGTACAGGTCGATCCTACAGGAGCAGGGGATAGCTTTCTTGGCGGGCTTGTTTTCGGGCTGGCACAGGGCCTGACCGTCCCGGATGCAGCCTTGTTAGGGAACTTTTTTGGTTCGCTTACTGTTTCGCAGCTTGGCCTTCCCAAGTTCGATTTGAGTTTATTGCAGGTTCGTTTTGAAACCAATGCCTTCCGTTGCTTTTTGATTCGGTTCTTGTTAATTGTTCTGATTTTGGTGTTATGTTTCACATATATTGCTCTTGAAGTTGTTGCATGTCATATTTGGACCTGTAAGATTCATAATTATTGGATCATTTAGGAGTTAATTGAAGGTCGCGAATTGGAGTTTCCTATTGTACATTGACAGATTGATTATGTTGTAGTTTGTAGATGAATTTGCATGCTCAAGATTGGTTGTGTATGATAAATTATTTGCGCAGAACTAAAGTGCTGCAATGATCTTTCATAGTGACTGTCTTTACTTCTTTGTGTGAGGAAGCCATGTAGGAATTTACTGTCATATCCGGTGTTCTCTATGCCTTCTACAGTTTTACTTCTCGTCTATAGTCGTCAAATTGGGTTGTACTCTGACTTATTTTACCGCTTAAAGTCGAATTATCACCTTTGGTTCCTCAAGTTTAGGAAAATATGACAGAATGTTGTGTAGTTTGGCTTTTGAAATGTACAGAAGAGCGTTAGCATATTGTGAAGATAATGAAAGTTACTCTCAGCTACAAGCTGAAAAAAATAGATGCTCGTATTTTCTTTTATTTGCTTGAGAATTTCCATGCATTTGTCTTTTTTTGGCTGGAAAGCTGATGATGATGATGGTATTAGATTCACAACCGACCTGTTTGCCAAATCATGGCAAATGTTGACTTGTTTTGCAAATTCTTCAGTCTTCTTACTGTTGCTTCTATCATTTAAAGTAAGTCGTGAAGAGATCTTTCTGAGTGAACATGACAAAAAGCGTATAAATATCTTTTGTTGTTTTCACTCTTATTTGAGTGAATGATTTTCTTAAAACCATTGTTATATTCGATGTATTAGGCAAAGCCAAGGTGATGCTTTAACGAATATTTCAATAACATGCACTAATACTTCCATCCTGACACATATTGAGCTCTTAATTCAGTCTCTCTTTATACTTCTCATAGTTATCGTGCCATTATTTGTATTGAATGGTTTCATTGCATGTCCAAAGATTGTGGTTCCTTTATCACTGTACCTGGCTAATACATAGTGACTTCACCATTTTCCTTCTAGGCAGTTAAGAATGAGGTGCAGAGAAAGAGATTGCAGTTATTTGAGTGCCGTCAAGGGCTAAATGACGAGTTGGTTTTCTCGAAGCCTTTAGATCACGACGAATTTCATACGGTACTCGTCAGAGCCAAAACATTGCCCACATCTCAGCAAGAATGCCAACTCGAGTTGCCTCCCGGCTCACCTCGAGTGGTGGAAAATCACAACAACCTTCCTTGCAGTGGTCAACCAACATTATTTTCCGGATAGTAATTATAAAATTTTAAAAAATAAAATAAAAAATGAAAACATAGAAAAGAAAAGGAGAAGGAGCAGTCCCTCTATGAGCGCAAGTCCAATATATGTTGATTTCATGATATTTCTTCTGCGGGTAATTTTGTAGGCTTACAATGTAAAGTGTACTTACAGGGGTGATTTTTCCAGCACTCGGATCCTTAATTAGTTAATGCCTTGGTGGAATGAGACGAGGATGACGGTAAATCGCTCAACTTTGTAGTCTCGTAAATTTTTTGCAGGAGAAAAAGTATGATATCGCCTCTCGTGTTTATCAAGAACCATTGCAAATTTTGTGTATATGCTTTTTCCAGGACATGTAGCACATCTGACTTATGAATGTAGCAGCACCTTTGGTTATTATGTGCATGTTCTAAGAATAAATGTGGTCCGAACGAAGCAATGCAATTCCTCGTGAAAACTTTGCTCTTTGGTGTCCCACCCTGCATACCTTCAGCTTCAATCTTGTACACCGCGTCCATTCCAGACAAAACTTTTCCGAACACAACATGCCGACCATCCAACCTGTAGATTAGCGTGAAAAGATTTAGTGAAAAGTTTAGACCCGGCCAAAAAAAAAAAAAATGCGGAAAAAAAAAAAAGAAAATTAAGAAATTGCGAAAAGGTCATAAGCAGATGAAGCTTAATGATACTAAATCCAGATGGGGAAACAACTTTGTATACTTGGGAATCAAAATTAGACAGAATATACGGTTTCAAACATGACGGTGAGAATTGAGTTCTTACCAGCTGATGTAGGGAATGTGTATCTCGTATTGTATTTTTCCCATTCGTACGCATTCCCTACATCACCAGCTGATTGTTACAGTTGTGATGAAAAACTGGGAACCATTGGTATCAGGCCCGGCATCTGCCATTGACAGAAGACCTGAAAAGCACAGAAGATCAAAAAGGAAAAAAAAAATAAAGTTATTGAAACAATAGCAACTCAACATTAGATTCGTTGGACGAAAATCGGTTTTGCTATGGAGCTACCCGATAGCTCGGCTTATGGAGTCATTTATAGTTATTTACAAATGGTGTATTGACACGCGTCCTGCACTAAATACACATTTGGCACATGTCAGTCCATAAAGTTATGAATGACTCCATAAGGGAGTCATCCGATGGTTCCGTAGAATTTCTGGGACGAAAATTTCGATCTAATTGCTTGTGTGTATAATTGAAAATTTAAATATTATCAATTTATAATTGAAGAACAATAAATTTATCTATCAATCTCATTATATGGTATAAGTACTAAAAATATAATAATGTAATATCCTCGAATCTGACCGGTGAGGTGTATCAATTTAATTAAAAACAATAATTTTATTTTGTAAACTTATTTAAAATTTTAAAATAAAAAATTGTTTTTTTATTTTTACACATATTAAATATAAATTTTTTATTAGCACATACTATTAACTATGTTAGCACAAAAAATTGAGCTCGGCCTATGTCCGCCCGAAAAACAACCGCTCACTAGACGTGGCCAGGTGCTGGTTCCCGGCCCGGCCCGCCGGACCACGGGCCCTCCAATATATGGCCCGCGACTAGCCCGCCTAAAAACGAAGGGCCGGTTCACAGTACCGGCCCGAACCGCCAGTTCATCGACCCGGCGGTTCACGGGCCGGTACGGCTCTTAAAAAAAAACTTTAACAAGGTGGTTTGTCGTCCGAACTGACCCGGCCCGACTCGACCCGGACCGACGGGTCCAAAAAAATAAAGGAACTGGGACCGAACAGCGGCCCTACGGGTCCCGGTTCAACGAACCGACCTTTAAGAGGCCAGTTCGGGCCGGTATCGGTCTAATGCTCACCATTCACCACAAATTGTAACTGAAAGTTACAAGATACCAAAACCCTCATGGCCCACACATGGTGTTTGGATCAGAAAGCAAAAAACTGCAGTATATCCCACTCTTTTCCCCGCACTAATTCCATTCTTATTCGCCATTTTTCTTTTTTTCTCCTCCACCTCAAATGAGCTGCTGAAAGCCCCTTTCAGGAAGAGAGAGTATGGGTACCGGTGCATCCAAGAACCCCGACGGCGGCTCCCATGGCAGCGAGGAGAGAGAGGACCATGCCGGCGGCCAGCTCTACGTCTCTCTCAAGATGGAAAACTATAATCTCAAGGGGGAGCTCATTCCCCACGTCTATGGTTCCGCGCCACTCGTCGGGTCCTGGGACCAATCCAAAGCCGTACGCTTCATCATCAATTGCTCTTATTTTCCTTCATTTTTTTTTTTTTTTTTTATATAATCCATGTTGAAATCTCCGCTTCGTTGGTGAGCGGGAGACGTATTTTTTCATTTTTCTCCCATCTGCATCTACTGATGAGGTTGCTGATGTAAAATTTTCAGCTCTCGATGGAAAGGGAATCGACATCTATCTGGGAATTGAGTTTTGTTGTTCCACCTAACCACGGTAATTATGTCGATGTCCTTGTTTTATGGCAGTGCAGACTTCCAGCTCTGACTCTCTTTTCCTCTATCTCTTCAAATAGAGACGTTAGATTTCAAGTTCCTGTTAAAGCCCAAGCATAGTAACTCTCCATGTGTAGTGGAGGAGGGTCCGAACAGGCAATTGACTCGGGGTACGTTGCGTGGGGGTAGAAGCTGTGCTCTGTTTAAGTTGAGTGGCGATGTTCTCGAGTATGGAGTGGTGATTAAAGCAGATAGGGTCTCGCCTTTTGACCTTGCTGCTAGTTGGAGAGCGTATCAGGAGAATTTCCGGCCTTCCACTGTTCGTGGGATACCGGACATCAGTATAAATTCAGCTGTTAAAGCCGCTAATGAGGTAGGTGCAGCAGTTTCCATGATTGTGTGGATCCTTTCTGTGTACTTTTCTTGCTCTATGGTCTGTAACTAAGAATATCGTTTGAAATTGATATAATCTGCCGGTTATGTTGCTGTTGTAATTCTGGTCGCTAGGGGTTCCTTTAACATTATTTAACACTTTCTGATGCAGAATGAATCGTCGCCAAGTTTGGAGCTTGATCTTGAGCACTACGTTGTCCCAGCTCCATCAACATCTGCAAATTCAGGTCATGTTTATGCGGCTAACCTGACGGAAACTCCTAGGTCACTGAGTCGTGTAGGGGTATTTTCAAGGACTGATGGCTCTAGTGGTACATTACATTTCCAGAGAGATACTGGTGTTTCTGTTGATCAACCTGATGTACTGGTGCTCTTTATCTTAATCGTCATTTTGTTTTCTGTGTTATTCGAATACGATGTGTTTTTTTTATTTTTTATTTTTTTATTTCTATAGAATTCATGTGCTGGTGTTAAGATGGAATGGATACTTTATGGTTATGATATATCTTGTTGGCATGTAGATAGTGGTCATCATGTTCACTTAAGGTTTATGGAAGTGTAAGTATTTGTAAACCAAAATCTTCCATTAGCAAAGTCGCCAGATGGATATTTTGTTCAATGTTAATCTTCCTAGGAAACTGGTTATGTGTTCCTTTGTCAAAACAACAGAACTTCATCCACGTGTTCTTACCTTGCTAATAGTTGCGTGCTTTTAATTTTTAATAAAAACAGACAAATTCAAAATAATATAACATGTGATTGCGTATGACACCCATACTAGTATTGCAAGTGCAGACCCTTGTGGCCTTGGGATGTCCCCCTATTTATTGGTTCTAACCCAGATCTTGGTTCTAGCTTATATCTTGTTTCTATTTTGATTCGATATAAGTCTTCCTTTTTCATGTGGTCTGTGGTGATAAACTTCTATCAGGGGATGGAAGTCATTATCCCAGGCTCAACAATGTTGTCTTCAGGATCTGGGTTGGTTGAGTCAAAGTCCGTTGAACTTGTTTTATCTATGCAGAAACAAGAAACTCACAGAGGACTCTTTGTGGATCGGGGGGTTGGATCTCCCAGACCTATGAAATCGGCTAGTGCATCAATGTTCACTGTTGATCCCAAACTTGTTTCGGAGGCAAAGGTCTGTAGAGTCATTACCTATTTACTCTCCACATTGAAGAATGCTGAAATATTCATACGTATATCTCATTTCTCAATGTGTTCTCTAGAACTCTATGCCAGCAGCTGCAGGGGCTGTTGCAGCTGGTGCTGTAGCTGACCAGATGCTCGGACCAAAGGAGGATAGACATCTGGCAATTGTATTGGTACTTTCCGTATACTGGCTTACACTTGATGCAAGTTTCTTTCTATTCGTAATGCTTATAAGAATTTGCAATTACCTATATTTTGGGATGATTGCATAAATTACCATTGAGATTTAATCTAATTATGAATAACCCGATTATTATTAGAATCAAAATACCCATTAAAATTACAAACATCCCATAAGGCTTGCATTTTCTTTAGATATCCTCCGTTAGGGTATAAAATGTGAAGCTAGTAAGATGGTACTGTGATTTTATAAGTGAGCCAAATCTTTCTGTAATCAGAATAATCGCCTCTACCGGTCGTTTCTTTTAATTCCTTATTATTCAGGCTGCTTCTAACACTGCACGTAATGCGGAGAAGACTTGTTTGTGGGTTTTTAGTTGTTTGGTTTGACATCTAGTTGAGCATATGTCGGTTACAGGTCGGATTGCCTGCACGCGGCAAAACCTTCACAGCTGCTAAACTTACTAGGTATCTTCGTTGGTTAGGTCATGACACCAAACACTTCAATGTTGGAAAGGTTAGTATTGATTTTATTGTGTTGTCTTTATTCTTGGTTCTTATTGAGGAAAAAAAAGCTGCATTATTGTGTTTTTCTGTTGCAGTATCGTAGACTAAAGCTTGGAGTTAATCAGGTACTATCAGTTGTTCGCTTAACTTCTTCCCATTATTGTATTGGATTTAATTGAGGATTATTTGTTTAGCCTTTTGGGAACCATTTCTTTTACTATAGTTGTGGGTGTTGTGTAGTGGAGGGAATAAAAATGAAAGTAACTGAAAGGTTCAGGGTTGATGAACACCTTGGAGAGTAAAAGATACATACCACTTGAGTTACATTATGATCATGGTATATTAAGGAACCAGTTATCTACACGATGTTCTGAACACCATTTCTTGAATGTAAAACTGACTTCACATGGCTATGTTGTAAAACTGACTTCACATGCTTTATATTTATGTTGTTGATTGAAGAATCGGCATTCTTTTTCTCTATTTGCCCTGTTCACCTCCTTTTGGATGTGATTCCAAGGGCCTAGCCGTTTCTCAAGTAGTTCATCAATCGATGTTGATTTTATTTGCTGCAGATATGGTCAGCAAAGCAAAATTCAGACCTATGGTGTAACAGCCCTTTGTTTTCAGTATCGTGGCATTTTTGTACTCTAATTCAGAAGAAATAGTAGATTACTTAGATGTCAACAGAACCATTGTTAAATTAATGGCGTCTTTCAAGGATAGCTGCAGTGATATTCATATTATTGTCTCTGGCCCCTCGGAATAACTGAATTTCTATAAGTACTCTTAAATGCTAAATTAAGGGGAGCAGGGAAAGAAGACTATGAATATGTGAGTACAAATCCTCACTGTTTCTCTGTTTTAACCCAGTATACACGTCCTTTGTGTATATAGGACGTATAACTACCTAAACTGTTCTGTAGAGGATCTCATAAACTGTAAGTTCAATCTACTACAATTAAATTTATGGTTCCAAGATCATATGGGATGACAAAGTGCATGCTGTGGTTACAAGAAAATGAAGCAATAATTGGTACCATATGGAACTTGAATTTGCCCGGAATTTATAATTAATTATTCCTGCTTTTCTCATTAAAACTGAGTCATTGATTAAAATCTGTCTTTACTTTCTGGATGCAGTCAGCTGATTTTTTCCGTGGTGACAACTCTGAAGGCATAGAAGCACGGAATGAGGTGCCCTATTCAATTACAACTAGTAATAATCGTGTGCCTGCGCACAAATGTATATAAATAGTATAAGTAATATGTGTGAATTTAATATTAAAATTCTATATAATGAACCTATTACATTTTCAAGATTTTATCATTAGTAAAAATAAAATAACATAAATATAAATTATTTAAGTATACATGAATCACTATATTGATTGAAAAAAGTTTGTGGGTAATGCAATTTTTACAATTTAGAGTGATCATGATCAAATAATTTTGTTGAGGACATATTATTATTATTATTATTATTATTATTATTATTATTATTATTATTATTATTATTATTATTATTATTATTATTATTATTATTATTATTATTATCATCATCATCATCATTGTAGCACCAATTGTTTATAAGATTTTAAAGTGGTTTGACTATGCTATTAAAACTATTTAGTTAATTTTTTTTCAGAGAAAATTGTTTCATGAGATTAAAAAAAAAGATAATGAAGAAACAAAATAATAATAGAATTGTTTATACTTATGTAATTTGTATTCGGTGTGAGTTATTATTAGTTGATATTAGCATTAACTATTTTTAATATAATAGCAAAAAGTATATGATTACACTTAATAGGGTGTATTAATGTGAAAGGTAAAATAAAATATTAATGATAGACTTTTGTGACCTGCTAGCAATTATATATATATATATATATATATTGATTTCAGAAATTCTTTAAAAATGAACTCTGTTCATTAGGGTTTTAGACGGTTTCGTGTGTAAGAATCGATTATATATTGTTAGGATAGCGTCTCATGTTTCATATGATGTAATTTTATCTTGGAGTTTGTTGTCCTGATAATTTATGATCAGGGAGTATTTGTTTAGAATTTAGCATTAGTCTCCCTTTCCATGCTCTTGCTAAATCACGCATCTTGGAATCATTATTAAGATTTCAATCCCAAAAAATAAAAAAAAATCAGCTTCACTTTGTTTCATTTTATCTCACAATTTCCTTACAAAAGAAAGTTCAAAACCAAGAATTACCAGTTTTACTTACTGCTCGTGTTCCTAGTGAAATGAAGATTCAAGGGTCATTAGACAAGATGTTTTACTTTACTCTCAGTGTATGGTGATGGTATCATGTCCTTCATTTTTGCATACATGTTCCAAGAGGTGCTGAGTGCTTACATTTCTTACTGCGTGCCAGTATTTTCACAATTTCTTAGGCCACAAATTTTTCCGTTAAGACACATCCATGTCTCAGTTCCGTGATCTCTCGTAACATACATAACTGTATCCGAAGCATAAGCTTGTCCTGACGTAACATGTGTGCAACCTAGTATGTACATTGTTTCCCTGTGTATACTTGCTAGCACAATGATCATAGCAGTAAAGCTCTCAAGAGTCCCAATGTTACTGCTAGAACTTCCTCAAGAGTTAACTCCCTATTAATTCTATATAAAATCTATACATAATATAGATGTGGAAGAGCATAATGGTTTCCTTTGATGTGCAAAGGTTGTATAGAAATATCGTAAACTGCAGTAATCTTATTACAAATATCATGTTTTAAGTTTATGGATGATAAGATAAAAATAAATTATTGATAATTAGATTGTGGCAGCTTGATTGTTGTACTGGCTAATGGTTTCCTTTCCTTAAGCGGAATTATACTATGTGCGTTATGTGACTCTATTTGTGACTCTATTTTTGTACCCTTTTACTTGCATATAGTTTTAATTCATGAGCTGCTACTAGGTAGCAGCACTTGCAATGGAGGATATGATATCTTGGATGCAAGAGGGTGGGCAGGTAAGTTATTTGATTTTGTTAGTGTGCACATTTAGCTGGTAACATCATAATGTATTCTAATTATGTTTAGGTTGGGATATTTGATGCTACAAACAGTACCAGAAGTAGGAGGAATATGCTTATGAGAATGGCTGAAGGCAAATGCAAGGTACATTACTAAGTTTTGGTTGCTCTTTAAACGCTGTAGTTCTGTAAAATTTAAGAAATGTAATCTGATCCAACACAAATGTCTTATCAAACTCTCCTGGATTTTATTAGTAATATCATCCATGAGGAACCTAAACTTTTTGTTACTTCAACTAAAACAATTCAATTGACATTGGCAAAATGGCATGGAAGTAACTATGCGGATGGAGATGAATCTTATGCATCATCATAGTATTCTATTCATGAAGGAGTTTTATGAATTTCACTTTGATTGGCGAAAGCAGCTATACACAGGATATATGTAAATGAACTTTTGGTAATCCATAAGTCTGGTTGAGGTTTTCACATGGACTGTCATCCTATCTTGTCTTCAAGCTTTTTACTTTACATACCTATCTGAGACTCCTCGGATACGCAAACTGAAATATGATGTATGCTTAAATATTTTGTGGATGTCTGACCTTGAATGAATGAATATTTACAGATCATCTTTTTAGAGACAATATGCAATGATCGGAAAATAATTGAAAGAAATATACGTCTGAAGGTTCAGCAAAGCCCAGACTATGCTGAAGAGTATGTTGCTAGAAGGTTTTGCATCATTCTTTATCCTGTAATATCATATTATAATTTGCAATCATTTCAGGCCAGATTTTGAAGCAGGTTATCAAGACTTTAAAGTCAGACTGGAAAATTACGAAAAGGTACTTCATGGACATTGTTTGATAGTTTGACGTGCTGTAGAAGAAAAAAAATTAAGGGTTAAGGGTAAATTCGTTTCTTTTCAGGTTTATGAACCTGTGGAAGAAGGTTCTTATATCAAAATGATTGATATGGTCAGCGGGCACGGTGGACAGATACAGGTATATCCCCTTTCATCGTTATTGCATCCATCTATTCATTTTATTCATTCTCTATTTGTTTGACCAAATATACCTGAATAGTTACCAAAATTTGATGACCTAATCCGCAATCATTCCTTGATTGTTGTGTTACTATTATTTTTTTCTTCTGCATGAAAACCCTCGACACTGTAACAGGAAAAAGATGTATAACTATGTGTATAGATATATTTTGAAAGTTTAATCTTAATCAATGTAATGTAAGTGATAATGTATTTTGTGAAACAGGTGAACAACATTAGTGGGTACCTTCCTGGACGGATTGTGTTCTTCCTGGTAACTGAGTTTTCTGCTTTCTTTTTCCTTTTTAACTTTCGAACTAAAATTAAGTGTATTTCCCTGAATTAAGTGTGTTTCCCTTTTTAGAGAATTATGTTTACCACAAAATCATTCTTATACCATGCTTTCTTCGTCATCCTTAATTCCACTAATTCATAGCTCGTTTATTATAAATATCCATGTATTCCAACGGCGGTCCTATTCCTGTGCTTCTTCAGACCTACCTTCTCTGAATTGCAATACTTTTAGGGTGTGTTTGTTAAAGGAAAAACTCAAACCAAATTAATTCTACTCAAAATCTAACTCAACTTTAACTCAACCCCACTATCCTCAATATTATCAACATAATTAAATAATAACAACCAATCATTTTTACACATCATATCAACTTTAATTCACTATTCATCCACTCACATAATTTTAACTAATCATCACTTCATATCATCCCTCTCCTGCTTTTACATCAAACCAATTTTAATTAGTTTATTTTAAATATTATTTTAATATAAACTCAAAATCCCACTAACAACTAACTACACCATTTTTTTCTAAATTAGCCCTAGTTAACTAAAAAAAACTCTTTTTGAGTCAATTCACTCAAATTATTCCTTTACCAAACACACCCTTAGCCTTAACCTTGTCAGGATGTTATCTTCAGAACTTAGGAAGTATGATGAAAGGAATTGTTGAAACATGTTAAAAGCTTTAGCAACGGCTCTAATTCTGAAACATAGTTATTGCTTACCATAATCACTAAAGTTACGACTCAGATGGCCGTTTCTCGCTTTTAATGTTTTTGTCTTCATAAACAGTCTCCCAACTTCTCTTTCTCGTTTGCTGCTTTTTGGAAGCAAATTGCATAGGTACAACATTAAATTGTGATGTGTTGTGAGTTATAATTAAGCTTCCTATTACTTTGCAGGTAAATACACATCTGACTCCTCGCCCAATTTTGCTGACAAGGCACGGAGAGAGCCGAGACAATGTCAGAGGTCGAATTGGTGGCGACAGTGTGATAAGGTTCTCTGTGGAAGATGAAGATATTATCTAACTTGTTTTTGCTTGCGTTCAGAATTCTATGTAGCTAAGTTTGATATACTATCTGAAAAATGAAAGACATATTTAAGGTTCTAGTCTGAATTCCTTTCCATGGGGTTATATGCCAGTAAAACCAATTACTATCTTCGCGTAAATTTATATCGCCATCAAAGGATTATTGTAGTATAACTGGCTAATCTGCTTCAAGTTGAAACTGATGAGAAAAATGGACAGTATAGGGTGGACTTATCTCTTTCTCCATATTTCCCCATGAAAATACTTACAATTAAAAATAGATTGTTAGCACCTTTCTTTGAGGACCACTATCATATTTCAGACATAAGAATATGAGGTTTCTCTAGCTTGTAGGAAGTTCCATTTGATCTTACCAATATACTTATAGTAAGGTCTGTTTTTCTCAGGATCCATATTTTTTGTTCTTTTGTAATTGATGTGGTTTGTCACCTTCATAATTTAGGGTTCTAAATTTCTAATTCTCTTTTCTCAGTGACTCTGGTGAGCTTTATGCGAAGAAACTTGCAAATTTTGTTGAAAAACGTCTGAAGAACGAAAAAGCTGCTTCTGTAAGTTTCTCCAATTCAGTGATGTGTGATGCAATTTAGTTATCTTTATTTCAGTTCTGTGCTTTTGTTAGGCTTTTCGAATTTTCATCTGAGTTTCATTTTACAGAGATAAGTTTACATCTTTAGGGGGTCTGGGCCTTTCGACAGTGTTTCAATTGGGTGGTACAGTGTTGGCTAATGGAAATGGGGTCTTGTGAAGTTCTTTGTTTCATATTATTACTCGTGTTATTATGAAGCATTCTTACATAGTAAAGTGAAGATCTATCAAATTCATGGAAACTATTACTGGCTGTCCAGTAAATGTCAGAGTGTGGTTCTTTTCTGCACTTTAACAAATTACGACCAATTACCAATATTTCTTTTATCTTGGCTACATAGTTTTTTGTAACATATCGCCTCTTGGGTTTTTTGGTCAGATATGTATTTCTTAATGATGGTTTTGTTCACTGATTTTTGCAGTAATAGCTTGTACCTCAAAAGAATAACCACATTTTATATGTTATGGATCTACTTACACTACGCCGAAACCTATAAAATCCATTCTATACCTACTCTGGAAACAAAAAGTGTCTTTTAATATTCAGTATCCTCTGTGGGGTATTCTATTACACATAGCTGACCAGCTTCAAATAATTGTTGTTCTTTTAATAACATGGATAGAAAACAAATACATTAGCCTCTGGAAACAAAAAGTACCTTGTTATATTTAACATATCCTGTGGGGTCTTTCCGTTTCTTTTTGTTCATGTTTGTATGAGGCTCTGTGTGTTTGACACCACAATATTCCCTTTTACATAACTATTTGTCTGATATTGTGGTTACCTTTCTTTCTCTTTGAAAGTTGGGGACTAGGAGTTAGTAGTCAGTATTATGTTGCTGCTAAAGTATGCGATGGCCGGGAACAGTCTACCATAAAAAATTGTGATTTGTTTGTCTATTCATATCGTGCCACGATTGTGCAGGCGCAAAATTCCTGAAAAAAGTTGACATGTTGTTACATAACACTGTAATAGGCAAAAATATTTTAACTAAGTTGAACATTTGTCTGTTTCGCCTGTGTCATAGATATGGACCAGCACATTGCAGAGAACAATTTTAACAGCAAGTCCAATAGTTGGATTTCCAAAGGTTATGATTGTCACTGTTTACATCAGTACAATGTCTGAGTTATTAATATTCTGAGCTGATTTCGGGATATAATCTTTTGAAGATTCAATGGCGTGCACTTGATGAAATTAATGCTGGTGTATGCGATGGGATGACGTATGAAGAAATAAAGAAAAATATGCCAGAGGAATATGAGTATGCTTCAGTTTCCATGTTTACTCTCTTCATTATGTTTTAAATCTATCCGATGCATTATAGATGCTTTTCAACTTGACCGCACTATAATGCATATGTCATGGACATGTCAACCAGTTATTTGTTATGGTCATTTTTCAGTGGATTAGTAATTTAGTTCATAATATTTTGCGTCTTTGACATTGGTTATTCGGTTGGAATAAACTAGAAAGTAGCCAAGGCAGTAATTAATATGGATTCTTAAATTCTAGTGCAGAGGAATTAGACATTTCATCTAACGCATATTTCCCCTACCTTGTCAAATAGAAAATGTGAACCTCCTGAACATAATCGAAGATGGTTGCTATAGTAATCATTGAGAAGTGTCTTTTTTCAAAAACAGGCATGATAAATCTGTAATAGCTGAGGAGATAACTCCACTTCTCAGTCCTACAAACTGCCAAAAGCCGAAAGGGAAAAATAATAACTTTTCTTACCGAACCTAATCAGATGAAACCTAATCTTTCAAGCAATTAAGATCATGATATATAAAAACCCTATGATTCTGGAGCCTAGATTAATTTATTTTCTTTCATTCCTCAATTGTAGCAAAATCTTGAACATCGCATTTTCTCGTTTATGTCATTTGTTTTCATTGTTTTTCTTTAGTGTAATCTTTTGTTGTATCTAATTGTCTTTTTCGAAAGAGTAATTTATAACTTTCTTTGATTTGTCAACCTTTTTGCACTTAGTCTAACTAATTACGCTGTAAGTTCACTTCTGGTAAGTTTTGTTTTATTCCCTTATCACAGATCTCGTAAAAAGGACAAATTAAGGTACAGATATCCTCGCGGAGAATCATACCTTGATGTTATACAAAGGTTTGTTTTCTGCTGTCTTATGGAGGTGTTTAAACCGGAAAAGGCTGAACTTTAATTGAATTGCTGTTGTGCATTTAAACGGAAAAGACTGGACATTAATTGAATTGGGGCTGTTGTGCATTTACCATACATACCATAATTCTCTTTTCAGGCTAGAGCCTGTGATTATTGAGCTTGAACGGCAAAGAGCTCCTGTTGTCGTGATATCTCACCAGGTCATGCAGTTAAAGTGTTAAACCCACAATTTAGTACTTCTCCAAGAATGCATTGCAATTCAGCTGCTAAATAAGTTAATTGAAATTTTATCCAGGCTGTGTTGAGGGCTTTGTATGCGTATTTTGCGGATCGGCCTTTGAATGAGATTCCTCACCTAGAGGTAAATGTACTCATGGTATTTTTTACTTTGAAGTACGATAATTTATACCTAGACCTAAGAAGTAAACTGTCAGCAGTTAGATGCGTGTTAGCAATCAAAATACCACCGCGGCGTGTTAGCAATCAAAATACCACCGCAGCCCTTGGCTGCAGTGGTATTTTTGCAATCAAACCCCATCATAACATTTGTGAATCTATCATGTAATCATATCTGCCGTTTTTGTTTTTTTTTTTTTTTTTTTTTTTTTTTTTTCTTTTCTATCTATCTGCACAAGAAATGGTCTAATGAGAAAACCAAGCAGTCTTATCGTGATACTGCTCTTTATGTTGCTTCACTTAATGTCGGAGGAGCAAAATTACGTTTATTCATGGTTCATAAAGAGTGTTATTTATCGGTACTCATTGAAATTTCGCTTTACGTGTATTAAAAACACGTTTTGGTGATGCATTTTGTTGCAGATGCCGCTTCACACGATAATAGAGATTCAAATGGGGGTAACCGGCGTCCAGGAGAAACGATACAAGCTCATGTGATGGCTCGTGAGACTTTTCAAGTCAGTTTACTGTCGTTACATTACATGTTCACATTCTTTACACGATATATACAATGGTGCTAAAAATAAATGAACGTGAACTTAGTTTAAAAATATAATAATTTTAATTTTTTTGTTTTTTATTCTTTTTGTTTTTTTTTTTTATGCTAAATGTGCTAATGTACAACTGGTGGTGAGCATCAATGCATCCCCAAACTAACACCAACAATTTGGAGGGTGCTTATATTCAGTTCAATTTTTTTTTTTTTTTTAATTTTTTATTTAAATTTTTCATTGGGTAAATTGCACCAAACCCCCCTGTAATATACTAAATCTGTGCGTTTTCCCCCTGTATTTTAAAAATTGCGACATACCCCCTTGTAATATACTTTTGCATGCACACTCTCCCTGCTACGTTAACGCCGTTACTTTTTGTTCAATTTATCATTATAAAATTCCTTTATCCAAGAATTTACGATTATGCCATCCAAGAATTTTATATAATATTATATATAATATAATATTATTTATAT